CAATTGCAGCCGTTATTCCGATGTCGACGACTGAAAACGTTGAGTCTGAGTGAGAACGAAATAATTCGTGTGCCTGCGGATGTCGCCAATCTCATTTGCCTTGAAGAATTGAATCTGAAAGGAAACGGTAATTGATGTTCACTTGTTGGTCCGTTGCAACGCTCTCCCTCAAACCCACATTGTTCTCGGTTCATCTCAACAATCAATCGCTATTCAGTCTTTCTTTACACTTAACCCGTCATGCTAACGGCGTTCAACGCCGATTTGTGACAAATGAATAGTTGTGTTCAGTGCAGTGTATCAACTGTAAGAATTCAAGTCGATTAAGTCAAAAGCGATTATTGATCCCGAATGAATGTGTATTTAAAACCATTTCGAAATACTTTCCATTCGTTTCAAAATTTTACGAGTCTGAAGATAAAAATCTATTGGAAACATATTAAAGTGATTCGTTGAGTGATAACATATTTCTTAAAGACATATCCGATCTTCCTGAGGAAATCAAAGAATGTACCCAACTCAAAATTCTCGATCTCAGCTCGAACCCAATCACAAGGTATGTTTTANAGCTGTTGCTTTTGACATCAATCAACTTTTTGTTGGTTATGAATTCGCTACAGTGGAAACATTCTCCGATCTCTGAATATTTCATACGCAGTGAATGAGATTTTGGTCATATGAGAATATTAATCACTAACTGCAGTCACTGTATACAACCGCGGCCTGATTCACATAAATGAACTCATCTGCATAAGTGTATCTAAATTGAAATCGAAATTGTATTCAGTAAAGAAAACAACCAAATTGCAGGCTACCACCGACAATAACATTACTAACATCAATGACGCATCTGTCATTAAATGACATCTCATTAACTCAAATGCCATTAGATATAGGTCGTTTAATGAATCTGCGATCACTAGAAGTTCGTGAGAATTTACTGCGAACAATACCGCCGTCAATTAGTCAGTTAAGTCAGTTGCAACGACTCGATCTTGGACATAATGAACTTGATGATCTTGTGGGTGTTTTTATTAATACTCTTACTGATATTCTCATTTGTTCACAATATGCACGTTTAATCATTTTCATTGTTTTTGGGTTATGCGTGTCCAGTTCGGGATAACGCACATGGTTCTATTTGAATATTCATCTCGAGAGTATACCATTTGAGGGTTTGTGTTTCAGCCACCCGAAGTGGGACAGTTATCGAATCTGCAAGAGTT